CTCACACACGAGGACATCCCAGTACTCGTTGCTGTGAACTCCAACGGAGTCTACGTTATCGATGACACTGAAAGCGTGAGTAATAGTAGTAATAGATTTTACTTAATAGGGTATTTTACTAAATTTTATTTTAATGTCCGTCTGGTACATTAATTTAAAACTTTAGACACGTATTTTTTCTTTTCTCACAAAATTAAATACTTTCGATGATATAATTATTAATTTGAAATATCGTGTGACGTCACAGCGTGCCACATTTTGTAACACGTTATGACGTAACAACCTCCCACTCCTAAATTTAACGTCATTTTATCTAAGTATTGCAACATAATAAAAAAATACGTGTCTAATATTTTTTCATTATCTAACTGACGGACTAATTAGATTCTTAATGTTGATACCCTGGAAACTACACAATTCGATTAACGGTATATTTGTTGAGAACTCAAATTGCCTGATGTTTGCGACTTTCTACAATATAATAACAAGCTACTGCATACAAAATGTAACAATATTTGTGTATGGGATTTATATTTAATAATTTATATACGATCGAAGAGTTAATAATGCCATGTACGTAAGAATCAGAGAATTTTACTGTATATTTTTTTATGGGATAAACCGGTATACGAGCAGACGGATCACCTGATGGTAAGCAATCGCCGTCGCCCATGGACATATGGAACACCAGAGGCGTTACAAGAGCATTACCGGCTTTTTAGGATTAGGAATTTGAGGATTGTTAGGGATTCAGGGATTGGGGAAGGGGAGGGTAATTGGGCATCCAGTAATCTCACTCACACGACGAAACACAACACAACGTTGTTTCACGTCGGTCTTCTGTGAGGCCGTGGTATCACTCCGGTCGAGCCGGCCCATTCGTGCCGAAGCATGGCTCTCCCACACTTATAAATGGCTCAATTTTTATCAAAAATCCTCTGAGCATGCTTTTTCTATATAGTAACAATACTTTTCACCATACAGACGGTCTTACTGGGGCTTCTCTACGAAGAGTTGTCCTGGGACTTTGGATTACCTTCAGACGACGGCGAGGATTGCTTACCTTGCCTGTTCCTGCAGTTCATGGTGGTGGAAAACGGACTCCGCGTGTCCAAAATTCTACAGGTAACAATTAGCATCTTCATATATAAATAAAATAAAATAAAAAACAATTAGCACCTTCATTTGACTGCAAGGTTGGTGCGGTGGCTGGGCAACCGGCTGCCGTGCAACGTGTCGCGGGTTCGATTCTCGCACGGAACAACACTTTGTGTGATCCACAAATTGTTGTTCCGGGTCTGGGTGTCATGTGTATGTGAACTTGTATGTTTGTATACGCACCCACGACACAGGAGAAAATCCTAATGTGGGGCAACGTTTTATAAAAAAAGAAACACAAGATTTATAAATAAAATAAAATTAAATAAAAAAGCCTTTTATTTCCTTCAGAAAATGCACACTTACAATAACAATTTTTTTTTAGTAACAAAAGTTTTAAGTACTTATACCTACAAATAAAAGTTAAATAAGTTTATAACTTAATGTTTCCAGTTTTATATGTACGATTTTAATGTTATACTATGTATGTTGTCGCGGAGAACCTAACGGGTAACCGAGGCTCCGGCTCGACGTGCAGGAGAAGGAACGGGGTGGTTTTTAGTCAGTAAGAGTCTGACACTCCCTCCCGCCTCACCCAGGCGGGAGCAATCATTCGAAGATTTTCCCCCCTTAAAAAAATACTATGTATGTTATTCTGTAGGAACCCCTCTGCAGGTAAAGGCCTCATTTACTATCAGAAAATGCTATCAGTAAATGTTTTCACTGTTCTTGCCAAATACTACTTCTACTTATGTCCACGTTTCAATTTTTCAGGTATTTTCAAAGCAAGCTATAATGATGGACACTTTGATAGAACACTTTGCGGGCGAGTACCGCAAAAGGCTCGGTCAGGAGACGCCGAGCGACCACGCCAACTACGACTACCATTCCGGTAAGTTGTACCTATATCTTTGTTTGTATATAACACATAACATAACATCACGCCTTTTTATCCCCGAAGGGGTAGGCAGAGGAGCACATTACGGCACTTAATGCCACTGTACAATGTGACACCCACTTTTCACTATTATGAGTCCCATATAATAGGGGAGCCCATTGCCATATACCGGGCACAATTCTAGATTCCGTGCTCTTACTGAGAATGTTTTAAAAAACCCAGTAGTACTTTGGTCGAACCGGTAATCGAACCCAAGACCCCTTTCCCGGCTATCGCACTTGCGACCACTCGGACAACGAGGCAGTCTCCTAGAATGAGTTTACTATTGAGTAACATTGCTCAAAGAAACATTTAATGATTATTAACTAAACATCGCGGGTTACTCACGTGAAAGTCAATGCAGTCGCGGCGATGTCGCGCAGCCTACTGCAGCCATCGCAGCGACCGCGCACGCTGCTTATGAGGAAGAACCCCTCTGTGGTTCGAAACTAGTAGAGCTTTTTTTAGTATATTCACGTAAGTAACCCGCGATCTTTAGTTCATTTAGTATGTCTCACGATAGTTATTATAGAAATATTAGATGATTTTGGTAAGATGTTAAAGATAGACAACTTTAACTCGTCGAGTACCGTCATTATAGACACAATTATAGAACAATAGGTTGCGGTCACCGGTGACCGCTTGGTGTTTGACAGTTTAATATAACATAAAATCTCTTAATTTCCAGATTCCGGTAGCATATCCCTTCCTCCACTATCGAGACCGGATTCTCCCCAACGAAGACTCGCCAACAAGTTATCTCGCTTAGCTTTAGCCACTCATGACGGCAGAGGCAATTTGTTAGGTGGAGCTGGAGACTGGAACACAGACCTGAATTATCCACGGCCTTCTTGGATATTACCCAAACATTAGAATGGAATTTGTAGTCCAAACAGACAGATGTTAAACAATAATTATTTAATTTGTTTACATTTAATTTGTTTTTGTAAATACATATTCGGAAATTGAATCAATTTTCTGCCTGCCTGCCTCGTTGGCTGAGTGGTCGCAAGTGCGATTGCCGGGCAAGGGGTCTCGGGTTGGATTACTCGGTCGGGGAAAGTATTACTGGGTTTTTAAATATTCTCAGTAGTACCACGGAATCTGGGATTGTGCCCGGTATATGGCAATAGGCTCACCGTCTATAACATGGGGCTCATAACATCAATAGTGAAAAGTGGGTGTTACATTGTACAGTGGTATTAAGTGCCGTAATGTACACCTCTGCCTACCCCTTCGGGAAAAAAGGCGTGATGTTATGTTATGTTGTGAATCAATTTATTATCTGACAATAGGCGCACCCCCTGTTACATTGACGATAGGTTTCATAACATAAATAGTGAAAAGTGGGTGTTACATTGTACAGTGGCATTAAGTGCCGTAATAGGTTGCTTATGGGACGACGTGCTCCATCGTAGACCGCATCATCGGTTACCACCAGGCGAGATAGTGGTCAAACGTCGTCCCATCAAATATAAAAAAATGTGCACCTCTGCCTACCCCTTCGGGGTCAAAAGGCGTGATGTTATGTTACATGAAGCGATTTTTTTAAAATTGTGGTATTTCCTTCTCTTTTTAATTATGCACTGCTATTTCTAGTATATTGGAAAGCTTTATGACAAATTAAAATGAAATATTCAGAAGATCAGTTTTATCAAAATACATTTTTTAATCATATATAATGGCTGTGTATCCTTGGCAGATACGTATAATATTCAGTGAAAGCTTTTCTTCTTATTATCACATTGCCGCGACCACCACGCTGCTTATTAGGAAGCCCCTCTGTAGTTCGAAACTTGTAGAGCTTTTCTCTGTATATTCACGTGAATAACCCGCGATTTTTAGTTAACCAAAAATGAAGTTAACACATACACATTAATGTAATCAGTCAGGACATGTAATCAATGTGTACCTTAGTTTCGTTTGCCTAACAAAATTGGTCATGTGTATATTTAGAAGACTTGACTGCCGGGCAAGGGGTCTCGGGTTCTCGGCAAAGTATTCCTGGATTTTTAAATATTCGCAGTAGTAGCACGGAGTCTGGAATTATGCTCGGTATATGGCGATAGGCTCACCCCCTTTTACATGGGACTCGTAACATAAATAGTGAAAAGTGTATGTTACATTGTACAGCGGTATAATGTACACCTCTGCCTACCCTTTCGGGGATAAAAGGCGTGATGTTATGTTATGTTATGTATATTTAGAAGACTTGATTGTGAATCTCATTGCGCAGTGTAAAGCCTGCCCGTCTCCCACTTACAAATTGGAGGAAATAATTTCAGCCAAGCACTTTAATTTGCTGTTTAGGTATATATGTCAATTTAGAGGTATTATACATATAATGAATAATGAATAATGTATGTACATAACTACATATTAAGGTGTGGTTTTATGAAGACTTACATGTTGTAGAATTATCTAGAAGAAATATATGAAATCAAAACCAGAGAGTTACGGGTCTGATCGATAAAAAAAACAAGTTTTATTTATAGAGGTAAAATGTAAATGTTATATGTATATTATATATGTTATTGTAAATTGTAAATAAAATTCCTCATTTTTTAATAAAAGTGTTTCAATTATAATTTGAAATCCAATAGAGATTAAATAGTAAATGAATAACATAATTATTTATAACTGTTACTATTATGTTCTATAACAATATTAAAATATAAAAACATAGCGTACCTTCACGGTAGCGTTGCAAGGTAACAGGTTCCAAAAGCGAGTAGCGCGCAATTTTTTTTAATCAATCCTTACTAATATTATAACTCGGTAAGTGAATTTGTTTGTTCCACTTTCACGCCGTAACTACTTAACCGATTGCTTTGAATTTTTGCAGAAGTAAAGTTAGAAGTCCGGATTAAATAATAGGGTACTTTTTATCCCGGAAATATTGATATTCCCGATGCAAAACAAAAGTATTAGTATAGATGGCGCTGTGTGTATTGGTACTTGTCACATAGGCTACTTTTATGTTTTTGTGACGCGAGCGAAGCCGCGGGTAAAAGCTAGTGTAAAATAAAATGAGATTTGCGTCGTTGCTACCGCCAGCACAAGTGATGCATAATGCATGTCAAAATTTTTGTTATTTTACAGCTGTCATAAGACCTAATCACATAGGTTCTACGGTTTGTGCACGTTACTCGACTACTTTCGAGCAATAATAGGGGCCCATAACCTTCAACAGCATTCAAAGCGACCGTTGCAGTACAACTATATTAAAATAAAGCCCGTTAAAAGTTAAATGCTTTTCTATCCCTTTCATTCCGGTAGTGAAGATATGTTGCTTTGTTGAACTCCTGGAGCAGTGGGTGTTTGTCCAGGTAATCTAACAGGGCCTTGAATCTAGGTCCAGACAGGTCTCGGTGGCGAGTCAGTCTCACCTCCAACGCATGCACTTTGAAGGAAAGTTCCGCACTGCAAAATTAAATGAGATTAATTTTAGCAATATAAAATAGGATTGACTATTGCTGGGACTGGATTGTCTCGTCCGTCTGACGAGTGGTCGCAACTTCAACTGGCGAGTTAGGAAACTCGTGATAATTCCCGGATCGGTGAGAAGGAGTTTTATAGGGTTCTTGGAAAAAAATCAGTAATTGCGCAGACTTTGGAATTGTTTGTTATCAGTAGTAATGGACTGCAGCTCTTATTACATCGGATTTATTACCTAACTAATGAAAAGTAAATATTCCGTTAAAGATGCACCTTGTCGATTTCTTTGGGGTTCGAAATGAAAAGAGGTATCGATAGATATCTCATATATAAGAGAATCGAGTAACTAATAGGTAAGCGATGCTGTACATACCTTGTAGCGAAGTAGGCGCTCTCTTTTTCTGGCGTGAGGATGAACTGGTTGGCTAAATACCACAGCCTCTTCGCTTTGTATTCAGCATTGAACTGAAAAGTAAACGCAAATTCAATAATCAATATGTATAACTAGCTACTTCCGTGCGGTTTCACACGCTCTGCTCAGCTCCTTTTGGTCGTAGCGTGATGTTTTATAGCCTATAGCCATCCTCGATAATTGCGCTATCCAACACAAAAAGAATTATTCAAATCAGACTTGTAGTTACCGAGATTAGCGCGTTCAAACAAACAAACAAACAAACAAAAAAACAAATTCTTCCGCTTTATACATATAATAGTAATTCAGAATTAATTGCTCGATAGGATAACATAAAAGAAAATATAAGTATTTTCCTATCCTAAGGGTGTACCACAATTATAAATTTAACTCGAGGGACCATAATATTTCTAACATTGTAAAGAAACTAAACGAATTCTGAAATTGTAGATCGTTATTTAGAGCCGATAGGTGCTTAAATAATTAATAGATGTGACTAATATTTCACGAAAGTCTACAAGCAGATGGATCACGGTAGTAGATCAGCGATCAGCGACACCTGCGAAATTACCTACCTATTTTAAAACATGACCTTCATTGAAATATGTTAAATTAGCTTTTACCCGCGGCTTTTCCCGTTTGTTCCTATTTAACCCATGGGCGCAATTTTCAGGGTAAAAAGAATCCTATCACCTAAGATAACCAGGCCATATCCTGCCTGTACCTATACCAAATTTACATTGCTTATACGTCAAGTCCATTCACTAGTTTCAGCATGATTGACGGACAAACATCTAAACAAAGAAACTTTCACATTATCTTAAATTGTAATAACCGTCTGCCTCATTGGCTGGTCGCAAGTGCGAATGCCGGGCAAGGAGTCTCGGTTTCGATTCCCTGGGTCGGGCAAAGTATTACTAGGTTTGTAAAAAACCTCAGTAGTAGCACGGAATCTGTAAATGTGCCCGGTATATGGCAATAGGCTAACACCCTATTACATGGAACTCATAACATAAGTAGTGAAAAGTGGGTGTTATATTGTAGTGGCATAATGTGCACCTCTGTCTACCCCTTCGGGGATAAAAGGTGTGATGTTATGTTATGTAATAACCGAGCAGTTTTGGAAAAGTTTTTAAATAAAAAAATACCTTATCAAATCTCTCTTGCACTAAATTCTGCCTGACCAGCTGTTTGGCTTTGAAGTCGTTGATGCACTGTTCCCTGATCAGCGTAGCTTCTTTCAGGGAGATTTGAGAGCCTGTGCCATGTCCCGAACCGAACATACGAGCGAGATATGGAGCGAGAGGATCGATCTCAGCTTCCTTTTCTCTCTCTGTCACTTCAGCTTTTTGGATTTCCTGGAAATTCATCGAAAGGTCTTAAGGTGCTTGATTGATGCAGATATTTTTGTGATGTGGCCTACATCACAAAAATATCATTACGCCTACATTTGTGATGTAGGCCTATTTGCTAGCTAACTGAACAGACTCTGAGGAACAGAACATTTTACAGACACTAAACTATA